AACAGGCGAAGAGCCTAAGAAACCTGACATAGGCAGGGTAGTTGAGTCATATTTTAACTTACCAAATGAATATTCAAGTAACATAATACTAACAGATAGTGATTTCATACTCACAAATAGAACATGTGCGATAGCAATCACCGCAGACATGAGTTTTAGGACAGCGTTAGCGGCAGATTTTAAGAGAGAATACAAAAACGTGGAATTCCTTTGGAAGCAAAGACCAGGGATAGGGGGCGTGGCAGGCTTACCTCCGGCGACGTCGCAGATACCGGGAAAATACTTGTGCTTCTTGGTAACGAGGGCGACGGAGAAGCAGCACGTGGACCAAGAGAACCTAGTCTTGTCTTTGACGAGGCTGAGGGACTTCCTTGTGGAAATGGACGTGAAGGAGCTCTCGCTTCCAGTGTACGATCCAAACAGAGGAAGACTGCATCCTCGGGAATTGTACGCGCTTGTACACGTGATATTCTCTGATACGAACATACAAGTATATCTACACAAGAAATATTACTTAAGTATAGGCTGAGTGATGTGCGAAAGAGTGTTAGGCCAAAGACTAAGTTGTATGTAATATGTGATATGTGTGTTATGTTATGTTATGTTATGTGTTAGGTTATTAAGATCATGGGTAAGTAGGGGTTAGTGACCATGAACAACTAAATGACGATCTTGGGAATAGATCCAAAGTTTGGACTGTCCAATCTTAGGTCGAATTCCAAAATTTTAGAAACCAATTGATTTTAATAAATTTTAGGATAAATATCTTTTTATCTGAACTGTTTTTAAGCAAATTTTAACGATATATGTTAAGGTGAAACAGATAAGTTTGATATTCGTGATTTCTTTTCTAGATCCTGATTGATCATTTAAATTACTCACTTGAGTCAAAGAATCGAATCAAATCAAACTTGAAAAGAATAGAATGGACAACTTCAACCCGGATGAATTGATAGACCTGGCAGAGGCATATGTAGGACCGATGATAGATGCGATCTATCGTCGGCTGATCGATCGAGACTTCGCTCTGGAGGACCCAGAGGTAGTCATGTTGCTGACCGCCCTGATCAACATCTTGGGGCACGACAACCGTGGGGACCGCCCCACGGAAATCCTGTTGATGGCAGCATATGGAGAAAGAGGAGTACTAGACCGCCCAAACATGAGAGTGATGAGGTGGAGAAACGGGGCTCTCACAGGGAGTGACTTGGCGAATGAGCCTGGATTGGGAGGTTCTAGGACTTACCAACCAGGTGAGATGCCAATGCCCTCCAAGCCCAAACCTGGGTTGACGAGAATGCATCAGGAGATGAACAGCGAGGTGACCTCGTCTGGTTCACCACTGAGAGCAGCTGTGCCAACAAAAAGGGCGAAAGTAGCACAGAAGGTTCAGACGAACCAAACCATACAAGATCTGGACGAGATGAACGATCAGCTGAGAAGTACGAAGAAGGAGCTGGACGAGATGACCAGAAGCATGCTCCAGATGGAGGAAGATCGGGACATGTGGATAAAGTTGTTTGAAGACTGCAACAAAAAGCAGGGTCAAGAGATTGAGCGCTTAAGGCAGGAATACAAAGAGCGATCGGAGCAGGTGGCGTTGACAACGGCCGTGGAGAAAGTGATACCTGCAAGGGAGTTTCCTCGTGGGCAGTCCCCGATGGAGCTCTTGGCGCCTCGAGAAATGAGTCAAACAACGGAGACACGGCTCCCAGCAGAGACAAATCGAGTAACAATCCCGGATCCTAGTGACACCTTGGGTGATCCCGTCGTAGAACAGACAGTGAGGAAGCTGATAGAGACAGCTGGACGACTGGTCGCTAACAAGAATGCGCCAGGTTCCGGGGTGACTGCACCCTATGGAACGATTGACGATACGGGCAGAGTACAAATCTCCCAGACCGTGATCAAACAAGGGATAAGTAACTTGACACCACTCATGGGGAGTTCGAGAATCCCAGAGAGGAAAGCACGAAAGATGCCAGCGAAGAAAGTGTCTCGCATAATAGACGTGCAGAAGAATAATCAATTGAAATACAAATTCACGGGAGTTTCGGAGACGGATCCGAGGGCCTGCTTCAATCGAGCTACCTGGAGCCCGGCTGTGAACCTGCAGCAACCACCGCTCGGGACCTCTCATCTGATATTGGGAGACAGCTTAGTCAGAGTGCTGTCGAATTTGAGGACCTCGTGGGTCACCACGGTGATGGCCTTTGGAGGCGCGACGATAGCCCAATTATATCGGATGGTGGAACTGATGAATCCAGGGAGGATCCCAATGTGATGATCTTAGTTGGGAGAATGACATCTCCAGAGGTTCAGATGGCTGGAAGCTCATGTGAGAGAAAATAATAGACAGGAGGCACCGACGAGAGAACAGTTGCCGAAGTTAGATTGTCTAAAAGATTTAGATCTTTTTAAGACAATATGCAAAATTCTAAATATTCCGATGGAAGTGAAGAGGATATGGGCAAGAAAATGATTGATGCCATGGTTCAGAGCTAACATGACTGCATGGTTGTACGAGTATGCGAAGAAGCATATGTCGAAGCATGGCAGAGTGTACAGTGAATATCAGCTAGACATTGGGGCTGGAGCTTTCAAGCGAGCTCTCGTGACTCATCGGAATGCAATGACCCCCCCTGTGAAAAGAATTTCCAGGACGAGTGAACGTAGTGGAAATGAGAAGGCAGAGATGCTGAAAGAAGATTTGGAGAGAAACGTGACGTTGTGTCTCCACAATAGCTTCTGCAGGAACATAGAATCTAACGTGGATCCCCTACCTTGCTGCAAACAGAGGGTAGAAGAGCAGAAGTGTTGAAGGACGGCTTCCAGCAGCGTCAGGATAGCTAACGACGTGTTACAAGATACGGAGACTGAGAGTGCCAAGTCAGTATCACAGGAGGAAGAAATGGAACATTGACGGATGACCGAAAAACAAGATGAAAAAAGAGATGAAATTAGAAGAATTTAGAAGTTTTAGAACTTCTAAACGACAAAAAAAGAAGAAAACAAAGGAGTGATGAAGAGAAATTAAAACTCAGAATTGTTTATGTGTGTAAAAAACTCAAGTGAGAAACCAAGCAACCAAGTTGTAATTGAAAACTGAAACATTTAGTTGAGTTTTGAAATTGTTGCATTTATAAATTTGCATTTTGATTTTAGTTGAAGTGGCTTTAGAGACACTCACTTACTATTTATTTAGAAAGGCTTAAGTGAAGGAGTATATTTAAATATTCCAGCCTGCATGACTGTTTTTAATCAGCTAGGAGAACTGATCACTTTGTGGTGACGTGGAAGGCTTGAGTAATCTCTCGAAGAGGGAGATTGTTTCATTGTTCTTTCTAACCACAGAGTTTCTTAGTTTTAATATTCAGGACAATAACAAGCAAGATTTCCGAAGGGAAGAAGCATAGTAGGATAATTTTAGCTGGTTGGATGGCAGGACTGTCCTGCAAGCCAACACCTTTCAAATCTAAGAGAAAAAGTTTTAATCGGGACATTGACACGGGAAGTCAGAAAATATGTTTTTATCTTAGGTCGTATCCTCAATGTGCAGATTAATGAGAGAATTTGAAGGCTATAGTGATGTAGTATGATGCCATTTATATTCTGCAGTGAGTCGATGTGACGTGAATAAAAGTAATTTCGTGCATTTTGTAAATTCTGTTCGATGACACTGTAACCATTTTACGAACATTGCGTGATTCATTGAGGACATTGACCGGACTGTCCGGGGAGTATGTGCCATTCGACCAGAATGTGAAAAATGCAATCTCTGCAGAATTCGGATTTTTAGCAGCGAGCCTTCCGGATTGGTGATTATTAAGAACTAAGAACGTTATTGGAACGATTGGCCAGACGGTGAGGGCTGGAATATTCTGGTATTTTTAAATTTCAAAAATTCGAATTATGACGTCATATTTCTGAGAAACGTCAGAAACGGCCATTTTGGCTAAAACGAGAAAGAAAAAGAGAACAACATTAGCTGCGCTAACAACAACTACGAAATAGAGATTGGAAAACGACAACGAGTTGCAGGAATAGCAGTGAACACTCCGAGTTGCAACTATTGTGCCGCTACAATAGTTGCAAGGCCGTTGCGAACAACGGTGAAGGGTGAAGGACGGCCTTCCGGATTAAGAAGAGATCAGGATTAACAAGCTTGATCCAGCGGATTCATCAATCCGGAAGGGTAAAGGAACTGAAACTTTTATCCTGCTACATAAAACTTTTAGCTTCCTGTCATGTCCTGACTTGAATTTAATTAACATCTAGATTCATTTTGATAAGGATGAGAAGCTAGGAGTTGGGGGAAAGGGTTGATCCATCTTCGATGGAGATGATGATTTTTATCTACTGAACAAAAACAATAGTAATATAATAAGTAGTAGCCCTGTTTTTAGGAGTGACCTCGTGGTCTGGGGATACTGAGACCCAGCCATGAGCTCACTATTTCTGCATGTAATCTAGTTAATTTGAGTGTTTTGACCGAAGCCGAAAGCAGTAACGTTTTTGTCGACCCGATGTTAGAAAGACCACCGAAAAGTACTGGCTTGGTAGAGACGGTGAAAAGCATGCAAAGCTGTTTAGACGTTAGCCAGTCGTCTTAAGACTTAGTTTTGTTTTCCGTCGATATGTATCTTCCGGGCGAATGTTACAGAAAACGTTTAAAATTTACTTTTTATATCCAAATTCCCTAATCGCTGTTTCTTAAGTGATAAATTGTGGAGTTTCAGATTTTGATGCAATCGGAGTTCTTGGACCCAGTCTGGCCGCAGAAAACCTTTTAATATGTCAGATCAAGAAATCACTATTCAGTTTGGCGATGTGCAACACACTCTCGATATTGAAGATGTAACATCAGATGATTTGAAAGATCTCTTCCATTTAGATTTTGACGTTAAACATCTCATTGAATTGCATACTGGGAAAACAGTGCTAATTAAGAAACAAGAGAAGCTGAAGCCTGGACTCGTCTACTTGCTCCCCGATCAAGCGAGTAGTTCTTTCTCTTCCGAGAATAAAGGGGGCGAGCCACCTTTGTCTAACTGGCTGAAGCGCAACCACGAGTTGATTCAAAATGCTCTTATTGTAAGTAATGCTATATATGAAGTAAATCCTCGGGACTATTTAGCTGATATTTTAGCTGATCACAACTTAAAATCAGTATTGTACAGTCAAAACGGTAAATGTCGGTTTCTGGTGTCAGAAGAACTTAACGAGAACAGAGTATATATAGCATTCCGGGGGACTGATAATCTCAATGATGTCCGTGAAGATCTGCGGGTTTATCAGAAAGCCACATCACAGGGTCGCGCGCAAGGGAGATTTCACGCCGGTTTTCTATCAAGGGCCGAAATGTTTCCATTAGAAAAAATTATATCTAGTGATATGGTGCGCAACAAAAAAATAATTGTTTGTGGTCACTCCTTAGGTGGAGCTGTTTCATCTATTGTAGCGACCGAGATGCTTCTGGAAAAAGAAAGAACTAAGAATGACTTGGTTGGAGATATCATAAATATCACATTCGGCGCACCTCTCTTCGGCGATGAAGCAGTTCGGAAGTTTTTGACCGATAAAACGTTCGCCAATTCTATGTTCCACATAGTAGCCGAGAACGACCCGGTTCCTTGTTTGCTTTCCTTTGCTCAAAGTGTTTCTGCCATTAAATTTCAAGTCGATAAGCAGATAGACCAATTGGTCTCCAAAGTATCGACCGTTGCTGGGCAATCTTACGTCGTGGACAGAACGAAATCTCTTGTGGAAATGAAAGATACATGTGTTAATTTTCTCGCTAAAGTGGAGCCATATTTGTCGCCTGCGATTGATCTGGCTGCCGCAATTTATCCTACAAATGCAATTGTTCTGAAAGGTTTTAAAGAAGGCATTGACATGGTTGGCAAAGGTATGGACAAAACTGGCAATGAAGAAGTTAAACGTAAATATGTACCGGTTGGAAACTTCTTCTTCATATGCAATGATTTCCTGTTCTTGAAGCACTTCAACAATTCCCAGGTTGAAAGCATCGTTGAGTCATTGGATATTCTTAAAGATGTAGATGTGGAATCGATGGAAACTTCTCATAGATTAACAAACTACCAGGAACTGTGCAAGTGTAACGCGTGCTTTCACCCGGGAGCGTATTTAGCTGATGATATTATGCATCTGCCACCAGATGATGATGGAAATGTGAGAATTCTTAAAAACTCACGAAATATAAAGCTTATCCAAGATTTTGAACCCAAAATACACAGCGCTGAATTGGCAACCGTGGAAAGTCAAGATGTGACTATGTTGCGACTTGTTTTGATAGGCGAAAATTTGTTTCAAATTTATCTTCCCAATTGCTCATTTGACTTCGGATTTCCTTTTGGGAAAGACGACAAAGTAACTGTAAAAAAAATTGGGATGGGTTCTAATGCAGAAAAAGTTGTTATCGAACAGGAAGTCAAAGGTACTGAGCTAAGTGTCTCTGATCATGGATCGAACATCATAATCGCAACGCAGTTTGGTTTCGGAGACATCGTTTTACCTCGTAAGAATATACGAAATATTGAAGTCCAATCGGTGTCCCAGATGTCGAGGCACGAGTCCATATCGCTGATAATCAAAAAGTCAGTTCAGCGAGGAATGGCATTGTCACAGCTTAAAAAGAAGACTTCGCTCGAGGAGCCGTTAGTATCTGAGATACTGAAGCTCACCGAGAAATGCCTGCAAGCTTCAGATCATGATAAGCTAGTTAAAGTTTTCAGTGACAAAAACATTCAGTTCATTTTGAGTAACGAGCAAGAGTATAAGAAAGTAAGTGACATCTGTGATAAGATTGAAAAATATATGATGAGTCCACTCAAACTGAATGCTGAAAAGTCTACACTTCAAGTAATTTCAGTGGGAGCTTTAGCTGTCCTTGGTGGAGGAGCTATGGCTTACATGGCCGGTCCAGGATTGCTTTTAGTTGGAGCTATTGAAGCTCTGAACATAACAGGCGTTGGAGCTGCAGCTACTTTTGGAACCCTTAGTTCCGGGTATTTCGCGAATCGGCTTCTAACTGAAGCTATCGCAGATCAGAATTACATCCAAGTTCTAAAGTGGCTAAAAACCGAACTGTTTTCGGTTTGGAGTGAGAGAGTAAAAATCGAGAATCCTGAAAAACTGCAGCAGGTTTCCGATCTATGTGACGACGATACAGTTTATAGTAACGAAAAAGCTCTGCTGCTTATGTTCAATAAGGATATTGGTGTTTTCAACTTTGAGGGAAGTAAACTTGAACAATGCACAGTGGAATCGAAGAACAGGTTGATTCAGCGCATCGAATGCGTCGAAATAATTCACAGGATCCGTGATATTTTAGCATCTCAGTGCTTCATTGGAATTGTCGGGCTTCAAGATTCGGGCAAAACAACGCTGCTGAATAAGATATGGGGTTTCAAAGGAAGCACTGGTCTATTTGCTCATACGGATGTACCCGTAATGCACCAAATTACAAAGAAAGTGAGCATCATAGATTTTCCTGGTAGCAACAGTTTGGACTATCATGCAAAGACGTTTAGCATTTGTGGTGCTATGAATAATATGATTATTGTACTAGTGCCTTTTACAGGAGACGTGAGTGAAATTGTGAGTCGCGAGCTGGCTAAAGTATACGAAGCAATGGTTGGAACCGAATCTTCGAGAATCATTATATGCGTGAATAAAACAGGGCTTCACCTGGAAAAGCTGAAAAATGAGCTAAAAATGGAGGCGAATCCGATTGATTTCATGAAACAACGATATATCACGAAATTGAACGAACATTTCACAGACACCCATGTAAAGGTCAAAACGGAACATATCTTTTTCACGGATTGGGAAATAGGCGATGATGGACGCTCATTTGGCATCGAAGGAATCGACGAAATCAAAGAAGTGATTAAACAGCATTTGATTGAGTTAAACGTGGTGAAAAGACCAAACTCATCACAATTTGAAGATTCATCGGAATTAGAAGATTCAGTTTCGCCGCCTAAATCCTTTTCAATCTAAATAAAATAAACTTCTATGAGCTTTTTATTTCCTGCCTTAATATTTTAGCCTTTGAAATATCAAATCCTTGCTATTTCCAAAACTCTATCCGTTTAATTTTCTACTTTAATATTTTTTCAAGACAAATATTTTCTATTTTCAAGACAAATTTTCTATATTTATAGCTGATAGATTAATGTCAAAATAATTGTTTGTAACTTAATAAACGCTTGTTTCATTACAAATTTAATTTTTCCAACCTAAATTTCGTAAAATAGTACTCAGTTTTGATTCTCTGTTTAGAGGATGCATATAATCCAACACCACGTTTTCATCTATGCTGATGTTTAGTACACTTGCGAGAGCAAGGGTCTTGTAACTGGGAACTAGACTTTTTTCCCGTTAGCAACTTTTCTTACAAGCAATTGAGCTTGTTTTATAATTGAACCCTAACAACTCCCAGGTTTCTTCCCACATGGTCTGGAGGTAACGCGGTTGCTTTTGCATTGTAAGCTCTGCAAAACCTTCATTTCTTCAGTATGTATGTGAATTGATTTTTTTCCGTTAAAAGTTGAACTGTCGGACATCATTTGTCTGCTCAAGTTTTGTCGGCTTAGTTGGCACATCACGGATTTTTCTTGTGCTGTAAGCAAGTATCCTAGTAGTTCCAAAATGCGATCATTGCAGTTTCAGGGAGCACCTAAGACTTTTGATAAATCAATTTTTTTCGGCTCAACTGGTGTCTGCTCAAAAGTGGTCAGTTTTCTTTCCGCTTCGTAAGCTTTGTTCCGTTGCATATTACGCTTGCGATTAGCAAGCGTTTTCAAATCGGAATGTGGATTTTTGTTTCGGATTAACAACTAGTTAACAAAATCAGTTGAATCACTTGCAGCTGACATACAGTTGAATCAGAGCTGACGCACAGTTGAATCACTTGCAGGTAATTACTAGTTACTACAGGGTACTTTCAGGGGAGTTGAAACAAGTTTTTTTTCGATTCAACTGGTGTCCACTCAAAGATGGTCGGCCTTGTTTCCGCTTCGTAAGATTTGTTCAGTTGACAATTTGAATTTCAAATTTCCTGCTTGATATGTTTGCCTAGAATTTCCTGTTCGATAAAAACTGATATTATGAAAATGTATGGGATCGGGTTTTTATTTTAATTTTTTTGGGACGCTATGGCAAAATTTTTCGCTTTTCTGAAAACTTTCTTTAATTTTTTTCTAAAAAAACGATTTTCAAAAAAGTGGTGCCAATGGAAAAACCGTTCACTCCCCTGTGTCTGCTTAATTCCTTAGTATCTTTTACCTCACCGTTTTTTCTACAGCCTTCGACAAAGTATTTCTTTTTCGAACCAAAGGGGGATTTTTCGAACCATATTTTTGATTTTTGACATATTCTCAAAAACTACCCGCCCATATCTGAGATATTGATTCCAATCAAAAAAGCGGGCTGTGCGAAGCTCCCGTGCATTAGTGGATACGCCCAAGTTTTACTACACAAAAAGTTATGGCCCTCAGAAAAGTCAAATTTTTGATTTTTTGACCTTTTTGAAACTTTTGGACTGTGCTTGAAAACTACCCTCCAAAATCTGAGTTTTTTGTTTCAATCGAAAGAACGGGCTGTGTGAAGTTTTTCTGCATAAGCGTCCAAAGTTTTCAAACGAAATTGTGATTTCATGACCGTTTCTCAAATCTACCCTCCCAAATCTGAATTTTTTTATTTCAATGGATAGAACGTGTTGGGGAAGCTTCGCTGCGTAAGTTTTTATGGGGAAGCTTTTTATTGGGGAAGATTTTATGCCCAAATTGTTCTTACACTAAAAGCGTAGACCCTTAAAAAGTCAGAATTGTGATTTTTTGACCGTTTTTTGAAATTTTTTGATTTTTCTCGAAAAGTACCATCCCGAAAGTTAAGTTTAGGGTTCAATCGATAGGAAAGGTCTGAAAAAAGATAGTCCACAATTTCCAACAAAACTATAGAGCCTTCAGAAAAGTTAATGATTTGGTTTCCTGTCAGTTTTTTGAAACTTTTTGAGCGGAGACTGATATCATCGAGTTTACTCGAGGCAAAAGGTCGTGAGAAGCCTCCGTGCTTTAACGGCTGCGCATGAAATTAGCATGAAAAACGTTTTGCCTCATTAAAATTTTCAAATTCTCAAAAAATTTTACTCATTTTTTTAGTTCAACAACTAAGGTTTTGAACGAAGCCCATTGTTGAAAATATGTATTTCATCCGGCATCAGAACATTAAGATCAAAAGTTATCAAACTGGTGCCCTCAGTTTTAGCTGGGCCCATAGTTTTGTGTGATGAAAACAGGTACTATAAAAAATTTTGGGATTGGGTTTTTATTTTCATTTTTTTTGATACGCTTTGGAAATTTTTTTATCACTTTGCAAATAATTTAGTTTTTTTTTCTCAAGAACCCTTCTACTGATCATCAACAAAAGGTTATTCATAAAAAGACCGCCTCTGTTATTTTGTGCCTGCTTACTCCCCTAATTTAATTTTGTTTGATAAAAACAGGTATTATAACAAATTTTGGGATTGGGTTTTTCATTAAAATTTTTTTGAGACGCTTTGGAAAATTTTCATCACTTTGCAAATAATTTAGTTTTTTTTTTCTCTTAAACCTTTCTAACGATTATCAACAAAAGGCTATTCATAAAAAATATCGCCTACATTATTGTGTGCTTGCTTACTCCCCTAGTCTCTTTTCGATTTAACCCTTGTCTACAGCCTTCCAAAAAGTCTGTGATGGGATTATTTGACCGATTTTTTAGTTTTCTCAAAAAGTAACCTACCAAATCTGAGATTTATAGGTACGCCGAAATGGACATATGGGTTAGTGATAAGTTCCCCTGCATCAGCGGTCAATCACCGTTTTTTTACACGAAGTTATCGTCCTCGGAAAGTCAATTTTTTGGTTTTTTGAGCGTTGTTTTTTTTTTGCTAAGTTTTATGAATTTTGCCAAAAAATACGCTCCCATATCTGAGATTTTGGACGCAAGTCAAAGAACGGGTTGTAGGAAGCTCCTGTGCATACGTCACTACGCCCTTTTTTACACAATAAATTATGGCCCTCGGAAAACTCAAAATTTTGATCTTTGACCCTTTTTTGAAAATATGTTATTTCTAGAGAACTACTCTGCCAAACCTAGGTTTTCGCGTTCAATTGAATCTACAGGTGTGATGAATCTCTTCTGCATAAGTGGCGATGATCTAATTTTTTTAAGCAAAAAGTAATGATTCTCAGAGTTGTCAACTATCTGAGGTTTTGACAGTTTTTTGGACATTTCTCGATAACTATCCTGCCAAATCTGATATCATACATAGTTTAATCGACACAGCAGATTGTTGAAAACCTATGTTTAGAAATTGCTACGCTCAGTTTTTTCTAGAAATTAAGTTATGGCCTTCAAACAGGAGAAAGTTTAGTTTTTTTCGAAAACTGTTGTACTGATTTTCGAAAAAGGGTATCAATGGAAAGACTGCCTGATTTACTGTGTTGCCTGCATAAACCCCTGTTCTCTTTTTTTCTTTAACCCACTGTCTACAGCTTCCGAAAAAGTGGATTCTCGACTATCCTCTCAAGTTTTAGATTTTGAGTTCAATGGATAGTAAGGATTTTGAGACTCTCCCCTGCATAAGCGGTTACGGCACTCATAGTTTTCAAATTATGGCACTCAGAGGTTTCAAGATGTGATTTTTTGGCACTCAGTTTTATGGCACTCAGAGTTTTCAAGATGTGATTATGGCACTCAGAGTTTTCAAGATGTGATTATATGTCACTCAGAGTTTTCAAGAGTGATTTTTTGATTTTTAAAAAAAATTTAATGACTTCTTTCGAAAACTATTCTCTCCAATCTGAGACTTAATTCAATCCAAAGAAGGGGTTGTGGGAAGCTCACCTGCATCTGCGGCTACTCCCGAAGTTTTTCTTTCAAAAATGTATGGCCCTCTCCAAAGCCATTTTTCGACTTAGACCGTTGAAAACTTTTCTCGAGAACTACCCTCCCAAGTCTGAGGTTTTAGCGCAATCGAAATAACGGGTTGTGGAAATCTCCCCTGCATAATCGAGTACGTCCATTTTTCTTAATAAAAAAAATATATTTTTTTGACTTTGATTTTCTCACAAACTACCCTCAACAATCTGGTATTTTTAGTTCAATGGATAGACCGGGTTTCAGAAAGCTGCCCTGCATAACCGGCTACGCTCAATTTTTTACATAATTAATTATCGCCCTCGGAATAATCAAGTAAATGCTTTTGATCGTTTTTGTTGAATGTTTTTGCTTTTTCGAAAATTCCCTCTGCACTCTGAGAAGTCAAACTCAATCCAAAGATTGGGTTTTGGGAAGCTCACCTGCATCTGCTGTTACTCCGATATTTTTCATTCACAAAAAGTACCCTCGGAAAAGTCTAAATTTTGAATTTTGATCGTTTGTTGAACCTTTTTGACTTTTCTCGAGAACTACCCTCCAAAATCTGAGGTTTTAAACTCAATTGAAATAACGGATTGTGGGAAATTCTCCTGCATAATCGAGTACGCCATTTTTTTACACAAAACTATCGCCCTCGGAAAAGTCATTTTGGCAATTTTTTGACCGTTTTTTGTTAAAATTCTTAATTTTCTCTGCCCTCTTAAATCTGAGATGTTGATTTTAATAGATCGAACGGGTTGTTGGAAGCTCACTTGCATCTCCAGCTCTTCTAAATATTTTCATTCAAAAAAGTATGTCCCTCGGAAAAGTCAAATTTATGACTTTTAATCTTTTTTGAACCTTTTTGAATTTTCTCGAGGACTACCCTCCCAAGTCTGACGTTTTCTGTAAATAAAGAAAACGGGTTGAGAGAATCTCTCCTGCAAAATCGAGTACGCACAATTTTTCTACACAAAAATTATTACCCGCTATAGAATTTTTAAAGGAGAAATGTAATGTTTTTAAAATTTTTCACTCTTCCTGCTTATTTTAGTAGAAAAACAACTAAGGTTTTGGGCAAAATCCTATTTTGAAATTAAGCATTTCGTCCTGCATGAGTATAACAAATTCGAAAAACATCGAACAGGTACCTCCAGCTTTAGCTGGGCTACTATTCATTTAAAAATTCAAAAATTTTAGGTGAGGTTTTTTAAACATTTTTCCTTTTCGACTTAATTAAAAGTAATGAACGTAGTGAAGACTCTTATATAGATTTTAGTGTTTTTTTTTTCAGGAAAAAAGTCTTAAAATGCTCTAATAACTA